ATACTGTCCTGGCCTCTTAACGAGCACCATTTCAACAACCAGAAGAACGAGTTGTACTTGGAATGTCAATCCATTAAAACGACCTGGTGAGTTGATGGGGTATACCCTATGCATGGGCTAAACAAGTTGACAGCAAATCATTGGATCCGGAGAACAAAATGAAGGCAGCAAAGAAGCAATGAAGCCAGAACCAATTGTCATCACCGTTCACATCTTTATCTTAAACATATCCCTTGCATCGCGAGGCAACTCGAAACAGGGTCAAAAAATTGTTGGCTTGAGAGGATCGAATGGTACGTTCGTGAACAAGTCAACCACGCCCAAGGCCAATTACCCTTCTTACATTACTCTTCATCGTTTTCGAACTCAATCAACCGCGTATGATGTATGTACTTTATTCAACCAACACTTGCTCTGCAAATTCTTTTATTCTTCATTGAGGTCTACTCCCCGTCATTAGAAGTACTCGAGTTCGTCCAGCTTACCCGATCAAAAAACAAAAAAGAGAAATTACAACAACCACGATAGAGTATGGGTAAAGGGTGGGTATCCAAGAGATGTGAGAGTGGTGGTACAATTGAGAACATGACGCAGCACGAGACTAGAGAGGATAGAGTACAGCGAAGCTAGCGCGTGTACTTTTCTTGCACGTAGAACCGTGCTCATGCAAACGTAAAGACCTAGGAGAAAATGGTCAGTTGAGAAGATGAAGGATGTGGGGAAATGTACCTGATCAGCGCTGGGGGTGTTGGCATTGCACGTAGTCACGTCCAACAAACCACCCTTTTGCACCAGACACTTGGAGTTGTTCGTGTTCTGGGGGCTGAGAACAATGTTTCGGGAGCCCGCTGTAAACTTGAACAGCTGTGCGCCGTTGGTCTCGCCACTTCCATCACCACGTCCACCACACGAGAAGAGGATGACTTGGTCTCCGGGGGCACGACGGTCATCGAGGTTGACACATCCGTTGACGAGTGAGCTGACGACGAGCGCGAATCCTGGCTGGTTGTTGTGCTTGCCAGCAGTAATGACGTCCCATTTCTGGCGGTCGCTGTTCGCATCGCAGTTGACGGTTTGGATAGGGATGAGGTTTTGGCGGAAATCACCGGCGGTAGGGTCAACAGAAAGACATTGGCCACTCGAAGTCTACAAATTGTCAGCACGAGCAAAATGAAAAAAGGTGAGATGCATACCTTGATTTGGACCTTGGTAAAGGCTCTGGTGGCGGTATTGTCACGTTGTTGAGCTTCGGCGGCAGCGGTTGGGTTCAAAGTTCCACCAGCACGAGAAACGGGGGTGACAGTGGCAGAGGCCCTAGTGGCCGTGTTGGTAGCAGCGGGAGCTGGAGTGCTCGTAGTCGCAGCCCTGGTGGTCGAGACGACAGCGTTGTTGTTTCCATTGTTGGCGTTGTTGTTACCCGTGTTGGTGTTGACGGCGTTGCCAAAGGTGAAGCGCTACCAATCCAGTTAATATAAAATCATTAAAAAGAAAGAAGTTAGCTCACCTGGTCTGCACTAGGTGAGTTGGCATTGCACGCGGTCACATCCAACAATCCACCCTTTTGCACCAAGCACCTCGAATTGTTCGTATTCTCGGGGCTCAAAACGATACTGGTTTGACCTGCGGTGAACTTGAAGAGCTGAGCACCTTGAGTTCCACCACTGCCATCACCACGACCACCACATGAGAACAGAATGACCTGGTCACCGGCAGCACGGCGTTCATCGAGGTTGACGCAGCCGTTGACGAGCGTGCTAACGACGAGAGCGAATCCGGGCTTGTTGTTGTGCTTTCCGGCAGTGATAATGTCCCATTTTTGGCGGTCGCTATTCGCATCGCAGTTGACGGCTTGGACGGGGATCAAGTTCTGACGAAAGTCACCAGCGGTGGGGTCGACGGAGAGACATTGGCCGCTTGAAGTCTTGATTTGGACGGCGGTGAGGGCACGGGTAGCAGTGTTGTCGCGTTGTTGAGCCTCAGCTGCAGCGGTGGGGTTGAGAGTTCCACCGGCGCGAGAGACAGGGGTGACAGTGGGAGAAGTACGAGTAGAACTTGAGACAGCGGCAGGAGTAACAACGGCCCTCGACGCCGAAGCAGTCGAGACGGTGTTTTGGACGTTATTGTTGTTGGCGTTGACGTTGGTGCCAGCGTTTCCGAGACTAAAGACCTGATCGGCACTAGGCGAGTTGGCATTGCATGCGGTGACGTCCAAAAGCCCGCCCTTTTGCACCATGCACCTAGAGTTGTTGGTAGTCTCGGGGCTCAAAACAATAGTGGTCTGGCCCGCCGCAAACTTGAAGAGTTGTGCACCTTGGGTTCCACCACTGCCATCACCACGTCCACCGCACGAGAACAAAATGACCTGATCACCCGCAGCACGGCGGTCATCAAAGTTGAGGCACCCGTTGACGAGTGAGCTGACGACGAGCGCGAATCCGGGCTTGTTGTTGTGCTTGCCAGCGGTGATAACGTCCCATTTCTGGCGGTCGCTATTGGCGTCGCAGTTGACGGTCTGAATGGGGATAAGGTTTTGGCGGAAATCACCGGCAGTGGGGTCGACAGAGAGACATTGGCCGCTTGAAGTCTTAATTTGGATGGAGGTGAATGCTCGAGTAGCGGTGTTGTCCCTCTGTTGGGCTTCGGCGGCGGCAGTGGGGTTGAGAGTTCCACCAGCGCGGGAGACAGGGGTGACGGTGGACGAAGCACGGGTAGAAGTAGTCGAAGGAGCCGGGGTCGTCGTGGACCTCACCGTGGAGGTCGACGCGTTGTTGTTGTTATTGTTGTTGCCATTATTATTGTTGTTATTGTTGTTCGTGGGGGTCGTATTGCCAAGCGTAAACAACTACACTCATCAACATCAAATCAGATCATAAAACACAAATACCTACCTGATCAGCACTCGAGTTACATCCGGTAACATCGAGGAGATTTCCCTTGGGCGCAAAGCATTTCTGGTTGTTGCCGTTCTTGGGGCTAAGAACTCTGGTGCCGGTGGTGACACTACCAGAGAACTGGAAGAGCTGCGAGTCGGTGGTTTGACCGTCTCCATCAGCTCGTCCACCACAAGAGAACAAGAGGACCTTGTTTCCCTCAGCCCTACGATCGTCAAAGTTGAGGCACCCATTGATCTACACCATCGTCAATTTTTTGATTCAAGAAAAAAAAGTTGGGAACTTGCCTGAGTGCTGACGATCAAGGCAAAGCCGGGCTGATTGTTATGCTTTCCAGCGGTGATAACGTCCCACTGTTGACCTGCACTACCATCACAGTCCTTGATTTGGACTGGGATGAGGTTGGCGCGAAAGTCGCCGGTGGTAGGGTCGACAAAGAGACATTTGCCGGAAGAGGTCTGCAACCATCAACAAACCAATATTAGTGTGAGAGAAAGAAACATGAGCTAGTGGGCCGATGTGACGAAGTATATACGCACTTTGATGGGAACTGCCGTCAGGGCGCGCGTTGCGGTATTATCGCGTTGCTGGGCCTGAGCGGTCGCGGCTTGATCAAGGGTCTACAAGGAGATATTGTGAGCTTTTCTTCGTATGCTGACAATGAGAGAGTACGTACGGCTCGAGGTGCGAGGACGTCCAAGGGAAGGGCGTAGGTCGAAAGAGCGGAGAGGGTGGCTCCGAAGAAGACTGTCGAGAAGCGCATGATAACAAGTGACAACAGGAATAAATTTCTCTTTTTATGAAAGGAGTGCGTGGACGGAGTAGACGGGGGAGACTCGCTCGATGAAAATTAACAAGAATATGTTTGCAGACAGTTTGAAAAGAGTGGAATGGTAAACGAAAAGAGTGGATGGGATTGCCACTGGCAATGAGGAGAGGTAGGGGTCCGTACAACGGTCTATGCCCCCGTCTAGGAGGACAGGGAAGAGAAGAGAAGGGGGAAGAGGGGGAGAAGAAGAGTGCTCGGCTTGTTTGTCGATCTATGGCAGTTATACATCCCAAGAGTGCTGGCGGCGCGGATGTGCGAGTTGACGTCGGTTAGGGCAGCACTCGGTCGCTAAGCTACCTGATGATAACATATGCCCATTTCAGGCATATTGACCACGCACAACCTTCCGAATTTCGATTCACCTCCTGAGTCTGAATTCGTCCCTGGGTGCTATTTCGAGCTCCATTCTATCCAGCGGAGCTCGCTAGCACCCGATGTCGGTGGCGTCGAGTTCGGGAGACGGCTCCAATAGACTTCAATTCGAAAAGTTCAAGATAGTTTCGAACGCATATTCATGTTGGCGTCGTGCCTCTATTGCCGTCTTCACCGCTGCTCCTTTTTGTAGGCTTGGGCGTTGTTCCGGGT